AAGGGGTACCTAACAAACACACAAGAGAGTGATCGAGACTCAAGTTTGTGATTAGAATAGAGACGAAGCTATGGATAACATAAACAATTAAATATACAGAGTTTTATGCAGTTTGATGGAGAGCAGAACAAGTACTCAAAAGGTAAAAAAAAAAAAAAAGTGTGGGTGTGAGCATGTGATTAATGAGATACACAACGGTTGCAAATACATAGTCCTAATATGTGAGCCAAAAGTGAGGCATAAGTGAATAGAGATAAGCCGGTTTCAATAATACGTGGATGTTAGTGTTCAAAGAGACCATTGTGCTCAGATGCATGTGGGGGAGATGTGAGATGAAAGATTCCATAAAGGAATAAAAATTGATATAATGCTTGATATTTCCTACCATTATCAGAGTAAAGAGTGACAATAGAGTTTTTGAAGTGATTTTCTACTAGTGCTTTAAAATGAAAAAAATATATCACAAGCATAAAATTTCTTATTTAAGGGGTAATATCATACATAACGTATAAAATAATTATGAAAATAACATAATAATTGATATCATCAACATAGTAAATAAGAGCGGTTCAAACATTAGAAAATATGATTTGTAAGTGATGAGATGAAATAATTGTAGATATAGAAAAAGAAAGCTTTTGATTTTTATTGCTTAAACACATTATAATTATTATTTTGTGACAGAGCAAGGTAAAAAAAATGTTGGTATAATATGTTGAAGAATAAGTGAAGATGGATGACCTAATATGGAGTGCCAGTCAAAAGAAGTGGTCTTGACACTAGAAAAGACAATGAGCGGAGAAGATAATTAAAATTAAAAATTATCTTTTAATGTCTGATTTGAAAATTATAACTGTTTATTTATATATTTAAAATTTATTATTTTTAATTTTATTTATTATAAAATTAGAAATTATATTTTTAATTTTTGTATATAAAAAAAAAATTAACATTTTAATTTGATGTATTAAAATTTAAAATATTTTTATCACTTAAACAAGACTAATTAAATTTGATAACTTTTTATGCATAATAATTTCACAAAACATGACAAAATTATTATATTATATATTTTCTCATTATAATTTTAAAAGTTATAATAAAATAAAAAATTATTAAAAGCGTAATTAACTTTGTAACGTAAAATTAAGTTTTGATAGGGTTACTACAAGTTATTTCTTTTATAATTTTATTAAAAATTAATTCTCTAGTCAAACTTTTACATTAACAAGAAAATACATTCAGCTGAAACTTGATACCAATCAATCAAATTCAAACTTTTATTACGTCATATCATACGTACGTACATACATACATATATATATATATATGTATATAACATACATAAGCACGTGGAAAATTTGTAGTGCGTCTGGTTGTTATTGGGGACACGTCCATTTTAGTTCTATAGCATATAAATTATTGTACATGTATATATATATATATATATATATAACGCATGTGATCAAAATCTCGCATGTACTTTTACTTCAACTAAAAATTCATATTAGCTCCATCAGCATTATATATATATATATATATATATGTGTATATATTATTTTTAACGTTAAAATTAAGGGCCCTAAAAGTGATTACATGACATGATGTATTATTGGTTATTTTATGTATACTTTTTTTTTTCTAGTCAAAAGAAATGTTGATTCCTTGAATTTGAATATGTCTTTTTTTGTTAATTTTCTTTGCTTAGTCAAATTTTTAGATAAAACTTGTTTAATTCAAAATTGAATTTTCCTTTGACCATAATATTCAAACAAATTCAGGTAAAAAAAAAAAAAACTCTCTCTCTCTCTCTCTCTATATATATATATATATACGTGTATGTAAGTAATAGGAGCACCCACCCAAAACACCGCTAATTTAAAATTTTAAAAAGCCTATTAATTAACACACTATTATTAAAAAGGGCTATAAAACGGCGCAACAGATGTCGTTGTCCGGGAGATATTTGTCAAAGAGTATCACGCAATCATTTCAAAAGTCCGGACATAAAACGGCGCCGTCTTGCCAGGAACTGCTACAAGTCGACGGAGTGGGGGCACCTGTAGCTTTTGCGGTCTATCTAATCCTCATTGAAAATGGACGTGTCCGTCGACACCGTCCATTTCCGAACGTGCATGAATATAATTTGTCTTCTTTTAATAAAATTTACCCATTATATATTTACTTATTTATTTAAATTATAAATTAAAAAAAAAAAAGGACATAACGAGATTCATCATTAATGCCGTATCAAGATTTTATTTGGATGTTGGGCTTGGAAATAATTGAAGTAAGGTCCATATTTTGTCATATACATTATTATTGTCCCTCCGGGGTTCTCTGCACCAAAACAATGAATGCCCGTCGGCCGCAGACATTATATATATTCTTTGGTAAATTATTGCAAACTATAATATAATTTTAGACATTACTTTTGTCTATTATGTGATATTAGAATTATTATATCTTCTCTTCCTGCATTACAACTTCATTTCTAAATTTATAAAATTACTTTTTGACTTATTTGAGTTGGAAAAAAAAAAAAAAAAAGATAGCCAGTTTAATCAAGAAAGTAATCTTCTCGACGCGTTTCCTTCCCTTCGCAAATTGGATTAAGATTCTTTTAAACCCAAAACCTTCCGATTACAACTTTTCTCCTTAATTTTCTCCATACTCGAACTTGAGCTCTCTTTAATTTTCCATTAGAAGAAGAACGTACAAGTGGAAGCTTATAAATTAAGAATATGCAATACCCAATTCATACATACTGCTACTTCTCCTTACACGCCGCTACCCTTCCTCTTCAAACACTACTCTTTTCAACTTACAAATTTTTCCTCTTTCTTTCATCCATTTGATGACTTGTCTCAAAAATAAAATCACCACCTAATAATCTTCCTTGTCCCGGATGGCCATACACAATATCAGCAGAAGAGATCTTTAAACCCAACAGTTTGGACTACAATTATGAATTTACACTTTTCAGGCGTGCAATCAGTTCATCCTGCAAATGGTTTCCATCAGTCAGTAAAACTCGAAGGGTATAAGGAAAATTTAGTTACTTCATTGCCGTAATTGATTGAGAGATGCTGCTGAAAATTTCTAGGCTGAGATCACCTGTCCGATAAACCAAAAGGGGCCTGAATTGGACACTTGCAAGTCCGCAAGTGTCCTTTGCACCACTAGGGATCAATTTATTTGCCCCTATATATACAATCAGAAGAAAGGGGCACTTGACTCTGAACTGTAAATACAAAAGTTTGAGAATAAATGTAGATGAGTTAGATACATGCCTTCTTTCCTTTGAGTGAAAGTCCCTTCTCCTTAAGAAGGGCTCGGAGCCTCTCTACAGTCAGAGCTTGCAAGTCTCTCTCGGCAGCACCACTGTTTGATCCTTCTACATGTTCAAAAGCAATTAGGAACTAAAACACAATAATTGGATAACTTAGACAAGAAACATCAGCAATAGGTAAAGTTTATGACAGACATTTAACTAGACTGAGAGAAGAAAACTTCAAAACCAAATCCAAAAAATGACAACCATTCATTAACAATTATCCTATCAAAAGTGAGAAATTTGTAATTTGAAGTAACAAGTGGAAGAAACTGCAATTTTAGGGTCAATTCTAGAAAAAGGGGAAAACAAAAATGCTCAACTACTTATCACATGTAATACACACATACAGGATAAGACAGCCAATTCAAGACAAAACGTCATAAGAGTCTACCTTGATGAGAACTAATTTGACTATTGGCTTTTTTTGCTGAAGCCCTGCCATCCAAAGCTCTTTCTGCAGTCCTATGAAGAAAAAAGATACTTGTGGAACAACTGAATATAACCAAATAAACTGATGAATTTCATGACACTCCTTACAGCAGAATTTCTACAGAAGAAGATGCAAAATGGTCTCAGTCCTACAAAACAACAGGTCTAACTAGGATCATAATGTATTCTGCACGAAAACCATCTTCTTTTCTTCCCTTGGACATAGTTTCCTATGTCCAAAGCAACTTTACACAATAGAATTAAATAATCATCAGAGATATGAAAACAGTAAAGACCCATTGAGTTTAGTTTTTTTTTTTTCAATTCCTATTATAGTCTGTTACTTTGTTACAAGAATATTCCTGATATGTACTTACACCATAACTTTTATGTTGTACTACTTCAACTCGTTCCTTCAATGGACTGAAGATGAATTTCTAATTTCCACTTAACATTCAAAGAAATTAATTGTAAGTAAAAACAAAGTTGATGCAAATTTAAAAATTGGAGTCCAATTCTACATGTAAGTTTATTATAGGAACCAAGGAATGGAATAGAAATTGAACCAAAAAAGCCAGGAATAAATTATAATTTTACCTCTTTCTAGGACCTTCAGCAGCAGTTTCTTTCACCCCTTTAGAACTGGAATCACTTTTTTGTTTCTTAAGAGCAAGTGATCTAATAAGTATGTTTTGTTGGTTTGTCTTGATCTGTTGGTCCTCTGGAAATACAAGGGAGGGTCAAACTCTCAAGTTTACAAAAACAACCCAATCACAAAACACAATGTCACAGGGTAAGATAGAAAAGAGTCTTTCTTCATGGAATGTAAAGCACAGCTAAAGTTAGTAGCACATAATTCTGCTATAGAAAGCGAATTACTACATAATTCTTGCACTCATTTTCTCATTCCTCTCCCCTCACTTGCTGTAAACGAAATGATAAACTGCATAAACTCAAGTTGGTAACATGAGCCCTTTACAAAGATAGATGACTCTATAGAAAAGTAATGCCATTCCAAACAAGAATGCATTCATTTTAAGATCAATTCATAGTATCTTTCATCTCTTCGAACATGTAACACTTTAAATGCTTTAACTTTTTTTTTTTGAAATAATTTAGATGCTTTAACATTGCAAATGAGTTCTATTTGACACAACATTTTTATGAACTCAGATTATAACCCTCAGGAAAAAAAAAAGGTAGATTCCTATCCATAGCAGAGGGCAAAAATCCTTAAAACCATCTGCAAATGGCAAAGGGCAAAAAGTAACAAAACACTCAGACATATGAGTGCATTCCTTTTTTTCTCAAAAATTACAAGGAAATATGAGTTAAATTTTAAGAACTTGATAACATCCATGAGTTTCACACGGCCTGTTCGCTCTCTATTTATACATTCTCAAGCCTCTAATTGTTTAAAGGCCAGCCCTTGGTTAGGTTACTTACATACAACAAGTGAGTTATTTATATTTATTCATTAGCTATTAAATTTAAATTAACAAGGTCACAGCTCCCTTCACTAGAATTCTAGAACTTGCTTTATTAACACTGAGAATTATGTCATTCAACAGTGACTACCTCTCTGAGCTGGTACAATTTTCAGAATCTTAACAGTGAAGAATTTGAAAGCTTCAATCAACATTTAAAGATTTTTTTTTTCTTTTTTTTTTTTTTCTAGAAAGAACATTCAAGAATTTTGGGACAGATCTATAAGTACAACTTGTTTTTCCTGACGAGGACAATGATATTATAAATCATGTAATATCTTGCAAACCCTAACTGAATTAACAAAAATTTCAGAGTCGAGATTATGAAGACCTGGTGGTGAAGTCTCGTGGTCACAGAGATAAACTCGCATGGTACCCTGCACAAATTCTTAACATGTGAGTATAAGTTGTATAAAAAAACTAACTGCTTCGGAAACAAGAATCATATTTAGCAAACACAAAACCGTAATAACAATCCTGAGATTAAAGGCAATGGTGAATAGCCGAGAACCATACCAGAAAATGAAAAAAGCGATGGCCAGAAAATTTTTTCTTTTTTCTTCTTTAGGTTTTTTGGGGATAGGGAAGTCAAGGTAAGGAATAAAAAGCCAAGAACATTAGCTAAAACACAAAAATCAAGACAACAAAGATACACATCCAACAAGAGTCCTTTGGTAAACATTCTAGAAAACTCAAATAAATTGATCCGGAATGGCAGCTCTAGTTTGAATGGTGAAGATAAAACAACCGAAAAGAAACTTGTACCCTCACATGCAGAACTAACTTCTGGATATTGCAAGTAATGTAACATATAAAACTGAAAATTAGTTTATCATAATATATACTATGATCTCAGCATATCTTCACAGGATAAACACCAAAATGTGCCAGCATTTGGGCTTCTCACTTGTCTCAAGTTCACATCAAGTCCCAATGAAATTTTTTCTTTTGAGGGACGACTAGTAACCATTGCAACAGACAGCAGAAAAGGCTAACTTCTATAACATAGACAACATTATGCACCTTTGGTTAACGGTTGTGCACAATGTTAAATTCCTTCTATCATAGTGAATTGAACTAGATAATAATGGGCTTCATAACCAAAGCGGAAACTCTAGTCCTATCCCTACACAAATTCAAACAAATTGCAAGAAGACCACAGACAGAAAACCAAAATTTGGAGCTCACTAAAGAATTTCTCCATATTCCAGATGCCTACTGCAAGATCATTTTTCCCAAGCCGTCAAAGATAAAAA